ATTTTATATATATTTTTAATTTTAAGTTCATTTTTTTTTGCACCAGAGTGATAAGATTTTTATTGAAGTCTCTCAGACAATTCCGAGCTGATTGCAAGAGCGTGTGTTCTTAAATGAAAAAAGTGTTAGTATGAATACAAAGCTAACAAGAAATCTTGAACAAAATTGTCTGGTGTGATAGATGGTAGATGAGAAACAGTTACATCTATTATGACAGAGTATGTTGATAAATTGAATCTCTTCATTTGCAGGAATCTCTGTCATCACGAAATACAGCATTGATTTCACAGATAGTCATTTCACAGATGATTGATGAGACTAAAGCAAAAGAAAATTGGCCCTCTTTGCCTATGCAGCCCATGGTCCCCCAGCCCAGTGCTTATCACAAGAAGCAACCTTTGGCTAACCATGGCTTGGTCAACGTCAACAGAGCCCTCACAATACTTCCCAGCAGATTAGAAATCCAGGCATCTCTAGATGACACCACTTCTCCTTTGGACTCTCCCAGAGCAGAGGTAAAACTGTGTCCAACCCAGCAGAAAGGATTTGCCTTCATAACTGTCACAGCCAGACGTGTTGCTGGGGGCTCCAGCCACCCAAGGCATGGAGCTGGGGCTGTGCAAGAGCCCAGTGCTGTGTCCCCCACCTCCAGCAAAGCCCCTGCTGCTGCCCTCCTTCGCTGGCCTCCTCCAGACTCCACAACCCAACGTGCCTCTCCCTTCAAGAGTCCTGAATCTTGCTCACAATCAGCACAGAAGCAGATTTTTGACCCAGGAAACAAGGAGAATGGCGTGAGTCTTCAAAGCAGTGATGGGAGAGAGAAAGTACCACCTTCATTCACCTCATGGGTCCACGTTCAGGTTTCTCAGCAGTGTCCAAACACCATCTATTATTTAGACAAGTCGCTTAACGTGTGCATTGAGCAACCTCAAATTAAATGCCAAAAAATTCATAGATCAGCCTTGTCCTTCAGACTAAATTGCAGTTCGTGTAGATTAACAGCAGATGGAGTAGATGGCATAGCTAATGGAGAGCCAATAGAGGAGATACATCAAACAAAGCTCCTAGGAGAAAACAAGCCTCCACTGAGATCAAACCTGAGTGCAGACTTAACAGAAAATAATGCAATTAATAAAGAGAAAACAAATGAAGACTGTTTGGCTCGTAAATACTCCTTACAAAGTGTCTTTGTCTCTGAACTTCCAGCATTTGTGGATATACCCAGAAGACCTCACAATGTAGTGACAACAAAGAAAGATGATGCTAAGCAGCCTGGCAGCTCTCACACTACATTTTCTCTCCAGCTTCCTCATCCAAGTGATGAGGCAGGTAAGTAATTTCCATAAACCTCAGCCCTGTGGAGCAGAAGTTCAGGCTGGAACAGACCCACCACGATGATTTTATGGGAGCAGATCATAGTAATCCTTGCTTCTGCAAAGACATGGTGACTCAGAGCACAACCCAGATATTTGTAGTCCCAGGACTACCATGAATATATTTGCCATGCTAGTGAGGCATGCTGCTCATCAGATAGCAGAGAAAACTCTTCATGTTTGCTGCATTAAACCTCTATTTTTAACTGTTTATAACTCTAATTGATTTTTCTTTTTTCTCCCAGCAACGTGCCCACGCTTAGCCCCTGAAAATAATTAGGTCATTCTTTGTGTAAGGGCTGAACTTCAAGGTGTGAGATTAAGGAGATGGCTGCACTGAGCTTGGGTTTGTGCTCCTTGCAATTAAAAATGCTCTTGTTTCCAGCTTTTATTTGCAACGCTGTAGTCATGAGCCCAAGTTTTTACAACTAATGGCTCTCCAGGTAAATGGTTTGCAAATCTTTGACACGTTATTTTCAAACATCTCCAAAACATGAAGTTTTCCTTGCAA